TTTTTTTTTTTCCAGTAAAAACTTTAAATGTTAAATGAGATTCAGCATGTTACTCTTAATAATAATTGACTCAAAACAAAGAACAGGGTATTTAAGTAAAGAGGATACGTTCAGTCCGCCACATGTCTGTGATGCTCACGCCAGAATCTGATAATAGCCAATAATCAGCATCACTCTGCAAGAGAAAGATAAATGAACATTCAAGATCAATAGTCAGCCAACTCTCGCTCATAACAATGATCAATTATGATCTTAAACTCTAACTACCAACACTTAAATAAAGGTAAGGAACCTCTATAGTCTATATCATTTTACCACCAGAAAAAAGAAGAAAGCCTTCTCTTCAAACGTACCTCTTTTTTTATTATCACGTGATTCTAGATTTTCATAATTTAATTAATTATACTAATCATTGACTATGCTTCATCAATTATGTTTAACATAGAAAAATGAAATTAAATCAAGAAATCTTATTCAGACTTTAGCTCACAAGCTGCAACTGATCAAGCTTGGATGTTTTCCATCTTAGCTTGTTGCTGAATCAACCTTAAGAGTCGAGCTTGTGTCTGTTCCATTACCAAATAAGCAAGTTTAATCTAGACAAGGTAAAGAGTTAATGAATAGCTTAGTTCACTTTTAGCCTTAAATAAGGTTGCCTCTGAAAGCCATAACCACCCCAAGCCCTTTTATGTTTGTAAAAGCAACAATATGTATACAAGTTAGGATGTGAATCTTACATCAAAATCATCGGGAACAATCTTCATGATTCCACTCACAAAGTCCTGTGTGGCATTAACCTCTGAGTACATTCGCTGAGCATCTTGACCTTGCATTTCTATCTCCTTCCCTCTGTTGTCATCTGTTACCATTGTTGCTTGGGTCTCATTCAAGCCTGATGTTGATGGAAAGTTTTGAGGTTGCTCTGAGCCACGTATTTCCTCAAATTTCTCTTCAAATTGACTGGAACAGAAGACAGGGAAGGGGGTAGAGCATGAGAGAAGAATCATCAAGAGAGCATGCAACATTGATGCTTAAATGAACAAATGTGAAGTTTGTAGAGGTTTCAGATTGTCAGCAAAATAGAAAACACATATAACAACATGCAAAGTTGACAGGTACCTAACAAGGTAAATGTCTATAGGACCCATTGTGCTTCTAAGGACTATCCTGTATCTTCTCTGGGGATAGTCGACAGCCTGAATAGAATGAAAATGTGAAGTTGCTTGTACAAATACGAAACAAGAATATAATCTTTCCTTATTTATTCAAACTTTCAAGAATACCTCATCAGGATCTGGGACTTCCAAAGTGGTTCCATGTGGAGCTTTAATAGCTATCAATGTTTCATTCTGACAGAGGGAATAAAGCATAAAGTTAAAAGCAGAGAGGAGAAAGTTTTATTGCCAATGCAAAGTCACCTTACAATCACCAAAGCAAAACTTGGTAAAAAACAAACTAACCTGGAAGCAGGGCAAGCTCTTGATATCTTCTTCAGTAACAAAAAGCCACCTGAAAATTTAGAAGTGTGAAATTAGTTGTGCTCACCACAGCTTCATTGTAGCAACTACACCATTGAGTAAGTGATAAAATTATAGTGCAGATAAGAGAATGTATTTACTTTTGATTATTTTCATCTTCACTCAGGTCCCTTAACCTCTCTTGCATTTCTCTGTATGAAGAAGGAACGCCAGCAAAATTCAGAGGTAGGTAAGAGCAATGCAACTAAAATTTGACAGCAGAGGCAATTAGCCATCTAACCTTATTTGTTCATCTAATCTGCGCTCCTCAAGGGTAAGGTTTTCAACTTCTGCCTGCAGCAAAATTTACCAAAATGCAGTAAGAAGTGTCAGTTTTTCATATTTCGAACAATGAACCTGCAATTTCCAACTTCATCATTTTGGTCTGGACATACAAATACTACTTGAAAACTGTCAACTTCTACCAATAAAGTTCAGACCAAGAAAGATGAGGAAACGTAGAAAAAGGCACATCAAAAGAGCTACTAAAATACCAAGGCCTTTGACAGACGATGTGATAGAAATAAAGGAGGGGAAACCCATGTGGCATAAGCCAAATGGCTGATAGGAGAATGTCCTTGACTTCATCCTTGAATTTCAGACAGTTGGAAAGAAAAATAAGGTAACAAAGAATAAGTAGTATGCCATGAAAGCAAAGCCATACAAGAGCTGCATTGCAATTAATAATTTGTCTGTCTCTCTTTACCTGTAGAGATGTAACACTTTCATCCATCTCCCCGGGCCTCAAGACATCAAGTCCCCTAAGATGAAACAAAAATAACTCTTCAACTGTGAAAGTAGTTAATGTATACCCAGAGATGAAAAGAGGTACAATCGTATTTGATAAAAATTTAGAAAGATGGAGATATAGTCCATACTTCCACTGAATTCTGTTCTTGAGTTTCTTTTCAATGAGACCAATCCCTTCAAGGACATTTGTTATGTCATATATCCTTCGCTTTTGAACCTCTAAAGTGTCAGCAGCTTTATTTAGATCAAGAATACCATCTTCAGCTTGTTTAATCAAATTGATGAACTTCTTTGTCAAGAGCCCTGATTTAAATGAAAATACAATTTTGTCACCCTCACAATGCACTTGCTCAAATGCAAAGCATTGTACGATAAATCTCATATGAGAGCCAAAAAAATCTCTTCAAAAACAAGCAAAAACAAAGGGAAAAAATACCTAGGGAGCTATCATAACGACAGGGACCAGTTGGAGTGAGATTATTGCCAGGAGAACCTGCTGATTTCTTAAGGTTTTTCAGTACCATCACCATGCCAGGGTACTATACCTATACAAATTCTATAAGATAACACTCACCAAGATGTGAAACAGGAGTTTGTGGACATTTATTGCTCTTTGTTGCCCTGGATGTTTTTGATGTCCTTCCCCCCTTTCCTGATACAGGTGTCTGGAGATTGCTGTTAACCACTTCGATGTATCCAGCCACAGTCCACTCATTTGACTCAGCCTCACGATCTAATGTATCACTCTTCCTCTTCAATGGCTAGTATAAGCAAAAACACAAAAAAGTTTTCAACTTGCAATCAGAACATGCAAGTGAAACTAGCAGGGAAACTTAGCATATTCACATGTTCAAGTAACAATGCTGAAGTGATTATCCCAGAAACGTCAAGATATTTTTACCATAACAGCACTAAAAGAAATTCCTCCTATCTTAGTTTTTCTAAACTCCATTTAAGCAACACAAACAGCCAAAACCCATTTTAAATCCCATTTAAATAAACACAAAACCCCAATAATCTAAATCAAACAAAAAAAAACCATAACTTCACAGTTCTCAAATGTCCTAACCCCCAATCATCAAAGCCACAAATACCAACAATTCAGCCAAATCAGAAATCAGATAGATCTCAACAAAATTACATGATCACAAAGCAGCAACTCACAACCCCTTTCATATTCCCC